AAAAGAGGGTAAAGGGTCCCTGAGACCCACACTGCTGGGGATTTAGCTTAGTGGCTTAAGTGCCTGCCTGGCAAGCACAAGGTCCTGAGTTTGATCCCTGGTACCAAAAAAAAAAAAAAAAAAAAAAAAAAGAATCTGAGCAGCAGAGAAGCTCCCTGCTGCAGCTTCCGGCGGCCCGACCCGAGGGAGCCCAGCCTGGCCGGAGGCGAGGTGGGCTGAGGGAGAGGCACAGCATCTCCCTGGTGCTGCACTTCGACCCAGCGCTTGCTGAGCCCTGAGCCAGTGACCAGAGAGCCCCAGAAGGGCCAGTGCGCCTCCCTGTGGCAGCACCCAGTTTAGGGGGAGGTGGTGCCAGTGGAGAGTGAGTGGGGCTTCGCTGACAGCAGGAGCCCTGGGCAGGGCCGTGCAAAGGCCCCAGGGCAGGCTAAGGGACTGCAGAGCCTGGAACAGAGCAGAGAGTGCAGCACGCAGCCACTGAGGGAGGAGCCAATGGGAGGGGACCGTGGACACAAGCAACCAGCTCACAGGCAAGGACAGGCCCTGAGCAGGAGCAGTGGGGAACCCGCTGCAGGGCACATCGCCAACTGCAGCTCTGGGACGGCACAGGCCGGGCCAGGCAGGAAGAGGGGTGCCCAAGCAGCCACGGCCACGGGCCAAGGAGCAGCCTCCACAAAGTGGATTCCCTACCACATGCACAGGCAAGGCCAGAAGGCCTGGGCCCCCATCCCCCTGCTGGGCACTGCCCTCTGCCACAGCCCCAGGCCCACCCCTTCCAGCATCCAGCCTGCCTCGGCCCTCCCCATAGCCCCCAGAATGCTTACAACACACCAGCCCCTAACCAAAGAAATGGAGATGACTGGGCATCGCACTGGCACCCGGGGCCTGGCGCCAGCACCTCTTCCAGCTGCACTCCAGAGCAGGGCTTGGCTCTCAGGCTCCAGGAGGCACGGCATCTCCACAGGACACCAGGACATTGGGCACCAGAGGCACCGCTGGCACAGGACTGCAAGAGGCGATGCCTCCTGAAGTCCCAATCACCTCCAAGCAGGTTCTTTTCTAGGCCTCCTGAAGTCCCAATCACCTCCAAGCAGGTTCTTTTCTAGGCCTCCTGGATACTCTGGACCACACCCCACCCAGACTTCAGGGCCCAGAGCTGGGCCTGAGATCCCCAGATGCCAGCCTTGAGGCCCGCAGAAGCCACTGCTCTGTCTAGGAAAAGATGCCACAGACCATGGCCTCCTCCTCCTCCTCCTATTAATCACCAGAACCACAGAAAGCCATCCTGGACCTGCTGCAAAGACCTGATCCACAGGGCAGGAGCAGCTGGGATGGCCTTTGCTTGACTGGGATCCTGCCCCTGGGCAGCTCCTCGGGGTGCCCTTATTGGCATGGAAGCACTGAATGCCAGTTCAGGCTGGAGCTTCAGCCTGTGGACACTGAGGATCCATCGAAGGTTCCGAGGCACAGGAGTGACAGCAGGGTGTGAATTGCAGGGTAATTTCTAGTTCTGCTCCAGGAAAGAGGGCTGCAGGAAGTGAGGCAGGGGTAGTGCCGATCCAGGAGCCTTCCCCTTCCCACAGGCTGCCTCGCTGAACAGACCTAGGCACTGGGGCCTGCCTGAGGCTCAATCAGCTTTTCATGGTATTACTTCCCTGACTGATTTGTTTGTCTTGTGTTGCTGAGCACTGAACTCAGGGCCTTCACCCTAAGCTGCATCCCCAAAACCATTTGTATTTTTTATTTTGAGACAGGGTCTTCTTAAGTCACCAAGTACCCCAAGCAGGCTGAGCTACTTTCCTGCCTCAGCCTCCCATGGTGCTGGGACTGCAAATGTGAGCCACCACACCTGGCTGCCACCACTGTTCTGAAGCCAAAAGGCCTGCACTCTTCTGCCAGGGCCAGGCGGCCCAAGGCGTGGTTAGAAGCATCGGCTCTGCCTCATTGCTTGGCACTGCCACTCTGATCTCAGGCCAGCCCAGAGTGCCTGGGGCGCCCAGTTCTGGGCTGGGCAGGGGCCTGACTTCTTGGAGCCTGGAGACCCCCGTGCTTTTGGAAGCAAGCCCACCCCGAACCCCGTCCAACCACCTCCTGGGTGGGGGGTGCAGGCTCTCCGGAGCCCAAGTGCGCAGAACCAAGACCTGGCTGCTCCACCAGCCCGATGGGAGCTGAGCCACACCCAGGCCACACCTGCAGGCAGCCGAGGTCCCTGTGAGGGCAAGACACAGGGCAGTGAGGACAGCAAGCACCTCAAGGGCCCCAGCATGTGCCCCTGAAACCCAGCCTCAGCATCCCACCCCCGTCTGGGCAGAGCTCTGGGACAGATCTGACCCAAGTCCTCATCCAGAGCAGACACTGTGCCTCACCAGCCTCACCTACTGCCCATTGGGTGCCTACCCATAGGAAGCTGCCCACCTCTCCTGGACAGACAGAGCCCCCTCAGCCTCCTCCCAGAGCGACACCCCCTCCAGCTCCTCCTCCTCCTCCAGGAAGTCTTCCTCATCTTCCCTACAGGGGTGTTTGTGCCCAGCCCTCTGTCCACTGTCAGCCAGCTCAGCTCAGGACAGTGGTCACAGCGCCCCCACCCCGGCAGTGTGGGGTGGGCACAGCTGGGGCCCTTGTGCCTCCCTCCAACCTGACCTAGCAGCCAAAGCACTCAGCAGCACTCACCCTTCCTTGGCCCCCACTCAGGTGCAGGTGGTGGCCCCCTGCTGTCACATGCAGGAATCATGTCCCTGCCAGCACAGAGACAGCCTGGCCTCGGCCTAAGGCACCTCCTCTGCTCCAGAGCTGCCTGCCTGTCCTCACTCACAGGGCAGCCTGTGGCTCTGCGCCCGGCCCTGAACTTCAAAGCCTCTTGCTGGGCCACAGCCAGCCTGGTACTGCCCATCCATGACCCAGCGCCCACTTCACAGGGCCTCCAGCTCCGTCCACAGCAGCCAGGGTAACACTCCAGCCTCCACCACTGCCACTGTGCTGGTAGGGGAACCTGTTCTCTGGGCGAGGCAGCTGGCAGGGCAGCCTGCTCCCAGCTGGCCACACCTCAAGGGCCTGATCCCGTGCGGTGGGGGCTTCTCCTCAGTTCCTCACGCCAGAACCACTAACCTCTGGCTGGGGGCTCCCACACCAGCGCGAGAGCCTACACCTGCCCACTCAGGACCCCAACCCACCACACTGCTTTCCTCAGGGCGGGAACAGGTCCAGCAGCCAGGCACCTGGCAGGTAACACACAGCACCCTCGCCCAGCTGCAGGAAACAAGGGAATCCCGCTCCTCTGAGAGGATGGCCAGGAGGGGATCTGGGAGCACTCTGCCCCCAAGGCAGGCATGCACCCCACAGTGCTGCAACCTGGGCAAGGGCTGGGACAGTGGCTCGGCTGGCTCCTTCCTGTTCATTCCCTCCTTCCTATCTTCTTCCTGCCTGCCTGCCTTCCAGATGCCACTGTCCTGGACAGCCCTGTGTGCCTGGTCCCACATGGCCAAGCCTGCACCAGTGAAGCCTGTGTCCATCACACGGACCCCTCCTCCCTCCACCATCTGCTGGTGGTGCTGGCAAAGATCTAGCAGGGAACCCAGACTCGAAGCCTTCAAGATGCCCGGCCACCTGGCTGGGGTGAGAGCTGCAGGGGCCGCTCCTTGGAGGGATAGTCTGTGTTGCTGAGGGCAGGATGCTCCTCCCGATCCAGCCGCTGGGTCTGTAAGTGGGGCCCTAGCACAGGAAGCTCTGGATAAACAGCCAATTATGACCACTGCCCCAGCCCCCAGACCAGCACACAGAGGCCTGGGAAGCTCTGAGAGGATTGTGCGACCCTTCCAGCAGATGACCAGGCGCCAGGCCAGAAGCGCCCGGGCAGGGTCACCAAGAGGCTTGCCAGGAGGGGATAACTGGTTAAGGATGTTGCAGAGGCAGAGGTCAGAGCCCAAGGCCAGGGCTGGGCCCCTCCGCCACCTGTGACCCGGGCTGTGGCTGCTCTCCCCAACAGCCACCAGCTCCTGCCAGGGCCTCAGAGCACGATGCTTCCGCGAGCGCTGGGTGCCCACCTAAGCAAGAGCCCTCACCACTTCCCCCAGGCTGCTGCAGGCAGAGGACGCGGGGCTGACCGGGCAACGAAGCGGACCCCCACCACCAGTCCCTGACACCCGCCTCCCTCTCACACCCGGCGAGTAGCGCAGCGTCCTTATTATCACACACGGTCCGACGGCGGCCCCTGCCGGCCACTGCGATGGACTGCGCCTTCGGAAGGGTGCTGCAGAACGCGCAGGACAGGAGCGCGGACGTCGGGCCGAAGACCGAGCCCCACGCCCCGCCCCAGGGAAGGCGACGAGTGGATTCTGCATTCTGGTCTGGCTCCTTGGAGGCTGGCGTCGAGGGGGGACCAAGTCCAGGCTCGTTCCGGAATCGGCGGAACCCACGCTCCCTGGCCCACGCCATGCGGCTTGGGCGCAGAGCTGCTGCAGAAACTCAGGAGCAGACACCAGGGGCAGCCCGCCCTCCGAGGGACCTGCCCGCTCCGGTGCCACTCCAGCCAGGGGTTGAACCCCGCGATGATACAGAAGCTGGGGCTGCAGCCCGTCATGCCCTGCGCCTACAGACAGGGGCCGCTGCCCACCTTCCTCCTGCGGCCACCCAAAGCGGGCGCTCCAGCCTCAGAGGGTCCGCAGACCTCCGGAGAGGCCCCGCCCACCAGCGAGGCCCCGCCCTTTATGTGGCCTCCACGCCACCTTCCCAGTGTCAGTCCGTCTCCTGGAGCAGAGCTGCTCTGGGATCTGGGGGTTCGGGCGACTACCGGCGACCCTCGCAACACCGTCGTGCTAGGCCCAAGTCCCCAAAGCTCTTTCGGCCCCGTCCCACCTACCTCCTGCTTGGCCCCGCCCCATCCCCGCCTCCCGCCTAGCCCCGCCTCCCTCTGGCCCCGCCTCCCGCCTAGCCCCGCAGCACACCGCCTCGCCCCGTCACGCTTTTCCTAGGCCCCGCCCTCTTCTGCGTGACGCACGAGGCCGGTGCCGCTCGCCGAGCCGCGTCGCGCGTCATCACTGCGCGGCCGGGTCCTGCGTTTCGGGCCGCGGACTGTGGTGTCATGGCACAGGCAGCCAGCCCCCCGGAGGTGATCCGCGCGGCGCAGAAAGACGAGTACTACGGCGGTGGGCTGCGGAGCGCGGCGGGCGGCGCCCTGCACAGCCTGGCAGGTGGGCGTCCCGGGGTGGCTCCGCGACCAGCTTAGGCAGCTGGAGGCCGAGGGGACTCGGTAGGCCGCAGTTATTAGACGGACAAGCAGAACAGATGGCTTTACAAAGTGTATTGCGAACACTTTGTACTTACTCTCTGCCAGGCACTGTTCTTGGGGTTTTTCAAGGATGCAAACCCTGAAAGGCTCTACAGTGGGACGTGTAATGACTTTTCTTACAGGAACACAAGTGGAGATTCTAGAGCGATCCCACAGCCAGCGAATTGTAGAGCTCAGATTTGATGCTAGACAGGTGGTCTCCAGCCTACTCTTTGCCTCTCTTGTGGCTTGTAGGTTCCAAAAACAGTTATCGAGGAGGATCCCAGAGAGGGGAGTTCTTGGGAGGTAGTCCGTGGCCCAGGCAGGTGGAAAGGGCCTGCTGGCTTGAGTGGACTGCAGGGAGGTTGGGGGACAGGCAAGTGGTTAACAGCTTCTGCACTTTGTGGAAGGGAGCCTTAGACTGCAGGAAGACGGCTTTGCGTAATCTAGATGACCCCTAGGTTCTCCTAGGAGTAACGTCTGTTTCTTCTCTCAGGTGCAAAGAAATGGCTGGAGTGGAGGAAAGAGATTGAGCTGCTCTCAGATGTAGCCTACTTTGGCCTCACCACCCTGGCAGGTAGCATCCCTGGCAGACCCATGAGGGACCCACAACTCCGAAGCTGGGACAGTATGGGGGCTGGGTTCCACCAGGCAGAGTGAAGAGCTCCTGGAACAAGCTCACACGTGGCCTCAGGGAAGGAAGGATTCTGGGCCACAGGAGTCATAACTACCTGGAGGCAGTTGCCTGGAGCATTTTCCTGCCCAAGGCTTCTCCTTGTGTCTTTTGTGTGGCTGGAAACCTAGGGATTGCTGTGTCCAGGGTACCTTTAAAACCATTTCTGAGGAGCCAGGAACCATTTCTTGGTGCCACTAGTATGTCACAGTGCTTACCTGCCACAGAGAGGCCCTGCTGGGACAGTGAGGCCAGGGTTGATGGTTGGTCCCTTAGGGAAGATCTAACAGGGAAGGCCTCAGGATTGCCATTTCAGCCCAGCACCCAACAAGGGTCGATGGACACCTGCTGAGCCCAGCCAGTCCCATAGGAGGGGTCTCTGGAGGAGCTGTCCCACTGTGGAGCAGTGTTCTGGTTGGGAAGCAGTCAGTGAGCCCCAGGTGACTGTGTTGTGCTGCATGCTGGGAACTGATGAGCACTTTAGGGACAAAGGCAGGTCTGGAGCGTGGGGGAGCATTTTGCAGACTGAGGAATTGGCTAGAGCTAAACCTCAGAGAGGGAGGCTGCTCAGCAGGCTAGGAAATCCCAAGGCATCTGTGGGCCTTGCCTCCTGTCGCTTTTCCTTGTAAGGCATAGGGTATCAAGAGGACACGGGCCGAGGTGGGGCCTCCTCCAGGCTGTAACCAGACTACAGCATGAGAGGAGGAGACAGGTTGTGGTGAGACACTTGGGGAAGTCGGGAGCAAGGGGTCAGCATCACCTTCAGCAGAGACAGGAAGCAGGGAAGCTGGTTTTGGGGGACAGAGGTAAAGGCTGGAGTCTTGCTCTCAGCAGAGGTGAGCTTTGAGGTGTTTATTTGAATCCCCATGGCAATATTGAGTTGGCAGCTGAGCTGGAAGCCTGCACTTGAGAATGGACTTCGTTGAGCTAGGCCATAAATTGTGACTACACCAGTGCCTGTGGGAAGTGGGGTGTCATGAGACTGATCCAATGGCTTGGGCAGGGCATGAAGGACCAGGAAAAGGGGAAAAACAGCACAGACCCAAGAGGAGCGGGAATGGTGTGGGGAACTGAGGGCAGCTGCAGTGGCAGGCAGTGTGACTTTCTGCCTGGGGTCACAGCAAGCCCAGGGTGGACTTGGCAAGCCCATGGTGGCAATGTCGGCCTGGACCAGGGTGACAGATGGGACTAGTACTTGGTACAGAAGCTGAGGGCGGCAGGCTGGGCCTGGGAGTCCATCCCTAAGACAGGACCTCACCTGGGCATGTCCTTCTTTATCCTCCCAGGCTACCAGACGCTTGGGGAGGAATACGTGGGTCTTGTCCAGGTGGACCCCTCAAGGCAGCGCGTGCCCTCCAGGCTCCGCCGCAGCATGCTGGTGGCGCTCCATGTGGTCCTGCCCTACGTGTTGGACAAGGCCCTGCTGCCACTGGAGCAGGAACTGCAGGCCGACAATGATGGAGCCCGGGCCTCGCAGAGCAGCCTGGCACCCAGTGGGCGCAGCCAGTCAAGAGCAAGGCGCTGGGTGCGTCGCCACACAGCCACCCTGACTGAGCAGCAGAGGAAGGCACTGCAGCAGATGACCTTTGTCCTCAGGCAGGGAATCGCCTGCTTGCACCGGCTGCATGTCGCCTGGTTTTACATCCACGGTGTCTTTTATCACCTGGCCAAGCGGCTCTCGGGGATCACTTACGTGAGTAACTGCGCCAAGGGGCCACTGCTCTGGCCACCCCGCTGCTGCCACCCAGTCCCAGTCCCTCTGCACACCTTGGCTCCTCAGGGCCGTGTCACAACATAATACAGACAGGTGTTCTATTTCGAGACTGGGACCAAACCCTCGACTTGGAAAACAGTGTGTCCTGCCCAGGTTCATTTTGTTGAAAACCCAGGGTCAGGTCAGACAATTCATCAGCAACAGCCCTTCCTCCGGCAGCCAGCGTGGGGCAGGGTCACTGACCAACAGGGCTTTGGGCAACACTTGGAGGTCAGGCTCCAGCTGCCTCCCGTTCCCACCAACCTGCTGTGCCACCCCACCACCCATTCAGCAGCCCTGAGCAGCAGTCTCGGGCCAGGGATATTTTCCCAACAGGGATCCATGGTGACAGAGGCCTCCTTGCCACGGCCAGCATCTCTGCTGACCACCCTCCCTGTTCAAAGGCCTAGCCACCTTCCTCTTCAGATAGTGCTTACCTCTCCCCATCCAGCTCCCCAAGGATGCCCTTGCTGCCCTCCTCTCCCCAGCAGCCAGGTCACCCTTTCATGGTCAGAGCCAGGTGTCAGGCTTGGGTGTGGCCAGACTTTTGGGTTATGCGACACCGTCCTTCCCCTCGCAGGAGCTGGGGTTCACCAAGCAGCTCTTTCTCTGTTAAGGATCACTGGCACCCTCGTGGGAGTTGGGATGGGCACAGGGGTCTTCTCCAGAGGCCACTGTGAAGGGACATGGCAGGTAGAAGGCAACAGGCAGTCTCTCCAGTCATGTGGCCAGACGTTACTCAGGTGCTGGCTGAGAGACTGGACAGTGTCCCAGAAAGGGGCGCATGCACTGCTAGGAGGGGACCATCCTGCTTCACATTCAGGCTGGTGCCCCTCCCATCATGTCCACTGTCCTCCGTGAGGCAGGCCCTGGATAACCCCGCATCCTCACCCACCTGGCCTCACGGCTCAGGGTGATGTCACCTGGAGGTCAGCCTCCAGCTGGGGGTCCCTCGGGTGCCCAAACCCACTACCCCCACCTAGTCTCATCTGTTGGATGTTCCCAGAACTGACAAGAGTGGGTAGCTAGGCTCCCTTGGGGTCCTGACGGCGCCGGGTCACCTGCCTCCACAGCTCCACATCCGCCACATGCCCAGAGAGGACCTGAAGGTGCGCGCCAGCTACCAGCTGCTAGGACTGGTCTCCCTGCTGCACCTGGCGCTCTCCCTGGCCCTGCAGCTGTACGGCTTCCGGCAGAGGCAGCGCGCCCGCAAGGAATGGCGGCTGCACCGCAACCTGTCTCACCGCAGGTGTGCAGTCTGGGGTGCCCTCTGGTACCAGGGAGCATGGTGGGCAATGGTCTCACCTGTGTCCTGTCCCCCCAGGAGCTCTGTGGAGGACCGGGCAGCGTCCAGAGCCCCACTGTGTACCCTGTGCCTGGAGGAGCGCCGGCACTCGACGGCCACGCCGTGCGGCCACCTCTTCTGCTGGGAGTGTATCACCGAGTGGTGCAATACCAAGGTGTGCAGGGGCAGGGACCCAGCAGCAGGGCGCTCCCAGGTCACTCTGGGTTCAGGTGGGCCTAGTCAGTGACACCCAGGGAAGTCAGGTGCCTGGCTGCTCGCCTGCTGAGCCTGGCCAGAAGCACTGAGGACACAGGAGTCCCCGCACATGGCAGCCCCAGTGCTTCTGCACACATGGCGCTACTCTTCCCAGCAGGGCAGGTGCACCTAGGGGCAGGAAGATGTGGGGACATACTGCCAGCCTTACACAGCTGGGCCCAGGAGCCAGGGCTCCGGGTGCAGGTGCGACCTGGCAGCAGACACCCAGGACCCAACCCAGCATTTACCTGCGAAGGGTGTGGCAAAGCACAGTCAGGGGACTGACCTGAGTCGGGGAAGCGTGTGCTCTTCCAGGCCCAGGGCAGTCCTGTGTCAGTCAGCAGGCATGGCGGGGGAGGGGGCTCTGGTGCAGAGCGGGAGCAGCAGCTCTGGCTGGATTCCCATCCCACGGTTCAGGGCCCAGTGTACCCCCGGCTGCCCACAGGCTTGCTGGACAGGAAGGCAGGGCCCAGGCACTAGAAACCCGCAGGGTGGGCCGGGCCCTCCCCCGCCCCGCCACATACACACACACACTCTGGAAAACGCTGTTTCCCAGGGAGAGTAGTGGCAATCAGCCCCGTGTGCTACAAGGCACGGGTGAAACATGGTGGACTGCCTACGACTGTCCTTTCCCCACAGACGGAGTGTCCCCTCTGCAGGGAGAAGTTCCCTCCCCAGAAGCTCGTCTACCTGCGGCACTACCGCTGAGCCACACCAGGGTCTTCAGGAAATGGCTGGAGAAACAAGCCTGGAGCAGTTGTCCTCGAGATTAACTAGTTGCACAGAAATTGTAAAATCCTCACATTTATCACACAAGCTGCTATGCTAACTCCTGGGCAGAGGACACTAGCAAGGCCCTGGCCCAGAGCCTTTAGTACCGTGCTGTGATAGTGGCCCTAGACCCCGGTGGGCAGCACAGCACCCAACCCTCCCTCCCCCCCAACCACAGAGCTGAGAACGAGGTACAGAAGTTGGCCAGAAAGTTTTATTCACTGTCGAAGAGGATGCTCACACTGGGCTGTGCAGAGGCGGGCAAGGAGGGCCCAGCCAGTGTGGTCACAGGCCTCACGGGCCTGCACACCAGTCCGCAGCTCAGCACCTCTGAGATGTTTGGCACACACTTCAGTCCATGTTCCCTGCTTCCTGTTTTAAGGGAACAGGAGTTGTCTCTGCCTCGAACAGGGAGGGGCCGCCGCCTCCTCGGCACAGGCTCGGGCAGAGCCGGCCCGGCAAGCGAGCACAGCACAGTGCGCAGCAGAGCCAGGGCCACTCCCGCTGTCCCACACTCACTCACTGCTGTGGCCAGCACCACCCCGCTGCCTCCAGCTGCTTCCTGCCTCGCTTAGTCCTTCCAGGTTTTCACGGTTAGCGTGCCGAGACAGCCTGGCCTCTCACAGACTAACTCCACAGGACTGACCTGAAAGGGTTTCATAAAAGGTGGCCCTCTGGGCTGTGCCACTCTCCCCACTGAAGTCTCAGGGCTTTGGGCATCCAGGCCCCCCAGGAGGGTGACCCCAGCAGAGCTGGGGTGGGGGGCAACGAGAGCAGCCCTCTCTTGCTGCTCTGATTCACATCGTTTCCTGTCAGGAGTGAGGCCTGACCACCAGCCAGAGAAACAAACCAAAGAGGTCCAGAGTCTGAGAATTCCAGAGACTCCCAGGAACTAACAGAAGTACCGAGAAGGTCCGGTCAAATGATGGAGAATAAAGGGCCTAAATATGGGCTCAAAGGCGGTCAAGTCCAGGTGTACAAAACTCAGCAAACAGTGCAGACGGACAACTGACACTCAGCACTGAGCACTACCTGCTGGATGGGGCTCGCGGCCCGAGTGGGCGTCTGAGGCAATGGAGCGGCATCTCGAGGTCCACGTGGTGGGGTGGGGGGGGGGCGCTGTCGTGCTGGCAAAATGGTTCACCTCCCAGAGGAGCCAAAAGACGCTGCGCCTGGGGCAGTGACCCGCGTTTGAGATGAAGACTACACAAGCAAGGGGACATTGTCTTTAATAAAGTTGGGATTAAAAAGTCAATTAGTAAAATGTTTATCACATCAAAAAGCTAACATGCAGTAGATTCTGTCTTCCCCCACAGGAAATGAAAAGCTGGGTAAATCTGCAGGCCTGGTCTGTATTAACCAGGTCTGATCTTTCCTTACAGGGGCTGCTGCATGAGACAAATTTAAATTAATCAAAAGCAAACTGTAGGTATCAAAGAAATGTGTCAAAATAATCTCAAACAATTAAAATAGAATATATATATTTATAATTCCAGGCCCTCAGAAGCAGGGTAGTTAAGAACAAAGACATCATGGTAGAGGCCAACATGAGCCATCTCCAGTGAGATGAAGTTGGAAACTGGCATGAGAACCTCGGGCCCGTGAGGTCCGCTTTACAGCCTCACCCCTCTCCCACACCAGCCGGGCTGACTCCGGCCCGCGGGAGGGCCTCGAGTGGCAGGAAGGCTGCCTGGCTCCAGCCTGCCCGCACCCCGCCACCCCTGGCCCCACGAGCCCGCAGTTTACTACAATTCCATACACTGGGAAACGTGAATATCACTGAAGAGGAAATCGCAATTTGGTTTAAATGCCAGTTTCTTCAGAACCTGATATTTCAGTTACAAATCATCAAGGCTTCCTTTTAAAAAGAAAATTCAACTCCCTCATAATCAACTACTTTATGTGAAGAAAAAGGCATTGTTACAATGGCTCAAAGCTGGTCTTGACCACGTGAGCAACTCAGTCCAGCTTCTAACTAGCGAACGTCTTGCCCACATCCTCCTTCCCTTTGTATCTCCTCTTCCCATGTGTGAACGGTATGTACCGGTATTTAATCATGTGCTGGAAAACAAAACAAACTCCAGTTACTTGCATAGCCAAAGGCACCCCCTCCGCCCCTGCCATGCATCACCAACAGCAGGATGCCCACAGGTCTGAGCCGGGTGTGGCAGTGCATGCCTGTAACCCCAGTGCTCCAAAAGCTGAGGCAGGAGGATCACTGAGGTCTAGGCCAGCCAGTGAGACTCCGTCTCAAGACAAATGAGAAAGATACCAACAGGCGATGGCGATGCGCTCCTGGCTCCCCACTCACAAAGTGGCCCGCTGATCTGCCAGGCCTCCCCAGCTCCACTGCCTGTCCTCACCCCACGGGGTCCTGCACCCCGCTGTATGCCCCGCCCCCACGCAGGCAGCAACCCCAGGGCCACTGCAGCAGCTGGACAGTGACGGCTGACGCGCACATGCAGCAGTGTGCATCTTTACCTTTATTTGTCTCTTCATCGTGATACAGAAAAGCATGATGAAGTACATCACCAGGATGGGCCAGAACACTGGCACGTTGAAAGCCTCGAAGAAGGTACAGACCATAGCCACGAGGATGCCCTTGGTCGCCGCGTGCCTTAAAGCAAGGGCAGAGGTCACTGCCCCGCCCTCGGTGCTTCCTGACCACCTCCTTGGCCCCAGCTACTCACATCTGTGAGCTGCCCCTGCAGGGCATAGCTTGGGCCCAACTGTGTGCTCTATGCACACACACACAACACCATGCCACCAATGCAGGGTGTCAGACCTGGCCCCACCCCACCCGGACCCAGGCCTCAGACTTCCGGCCCGCCCCAGCCCCCGGAGCCCTAGCAACTCCGCTCCCCACTTCCCATGCCAAGTGGGGTCCCCAGAAGGGAGTTCCTGACCCAAGGGGCTGTCCCCACTGTTCTTGCCCTATCTTCTGCCACCTGCAGGAAGTCAGGTCTGCAGGAGCCCCGAGCCCTGACTCCCGAGGGTGGGCCCTGCACAGCCCCCACTCAGGACCCACTCCCCAAGGGTGCTGCCTGACACCAGGTCCCCAAGGTTGGCTGTCCCTTCCCAGCCCTGACCACAGGTGCTGACCCAAGCTCAGAATGCCTGGAGAGTGGTCTCTCCATAACCTGCACCCAGCTGGCCCGTGCCCTTTGGGTGCACGGGTGACACCAGCACACGAAACACAACCAGAGTCTCTTGCTTCTCGCATTTCAACTGCTCACTGACCTGAAGGAAAACAATCCTGTGTGCAGGATCCCCTCGGTCGCACCTGAGCACAGGCACCCCTGAGTTGCCTTCAAAAACCAAGGTGCTGCACGGGGTGGGGGGTGGGGTTGGGGGGGAACCACAGAGACAATAACGCATGGTGCACTTCAAGACTGCTGTGGGACACGCATGTCCCCAGCACACAGCAACGCCAAGTGCTGTGACAGGCATGCCCGGTGGCCAAGCTGCACGTGAGTGACAGACACAGTGTGCACAGGGACCAAGATGTCCTGCTGTACCCCATGAACGCACGCAATTACGGGATATTGGGCAAATCCCAAATACTCAGTTTTTAAAAGCTTAATTAAAGAACAAAGAATTAGCTCACCAAAATTTAAACTCTGGAAGCCTTCGAATGAAGGGACGGAACTCCTCATTCTGTTTGGTCGGTAGCGAAGGGCCATCGTCTGGAAAGCAGGGTGTCAGTCACAGAACAGCTCAGCCCTCAGCTCTGCAGCTCTCACCGCTCCTAGGGATCCCCAAAGCCTCTGAGCTGCAGGCCCAAGTCGCTCACCCAAATGTACAGCGGGCCTGCGGCCAATTTATAGATCAACTTGGGGCTTTGCAGCACTCCGCTTTCTTAACTTTCTCTCTGAAAGTCTCTCGTACCTTTTAAAGAGTACAACAAATTCCACTGCACAGGTTTTCCACCTGCTGCGTCCACCCAGGTTTCTAAGCAGAGGGGTGAGCACAGCTTATGGGCCCTCAAGGAGCAGCAGGGCCGGTACCCCCGCCCACCTGCAGAGACAGTGGGGTCCAGAGGACCCGAGGTTACTTTCCAGTCTCCCCAGATAGCATGCTCACATGAAAAGGGCCACTTTCCTCCAGTTTCCACTGAATGGTCCACAGAGAAGACCACTGGCTTTCACTCATCTAATCTGAAAACAGTCTGGACAGCACTCCGAATGACAGAGGGCCCCAGGGCAGGGCCAGAGCAGGCCAGGGACAGGTGGCTTCTCACTTGTGTCACTGGCTGGCCCAGGTATGGCCCGTGACACACAAATACCAACAATGTTTCAACTCCCAAGAACTCAGAGCTCGGCTGGGCCACCAGAGTCAGGTGTCAGTGGCCTGTAGAGGCTGTGATGGGCCCATGTGCAAACCTCTGGGGAGGAAGCCTGGTGGGTGACAGCCTGGCAGGTCTGCTGCAAGCTGCAGACTCAGAGGCTCATGCACAGATCTCAGCTCCATTTGTCCTGTCACCTGTGCGGTGACCCTGGACAGGTCGCAGAACCCCACAAGCCTCAGTGTCAGCGTGGCAAGAGGGCTGGATGGCAGTACCTGAGTCTTCCATCAGGGAGGGGTCCACTTTGGGAGAGAGGAACGCTATAAAGAGGTTGAGGTGGTAGATGCCCAGCGCGTAGGTCACGATGTACCAGCCCTGGAAGAGAAGCAGCAAGCACAGTGGGCAGCCCAGCCACCACCAACCCAAGGCTGTCCTGGCCACAGCAGGGACACACAAGGGAGCTGCAGCACACACGGCTCACTATCAGTAAGGAGGCTGTGGCTTCCACCGTGACCACAGGGACCACTCAGGACTCCGCGGCATGCTCCTGAGAGCCCAGTCAGCCACAAAAGACACCTGATGCCAGGCTCCTGGCCAGCAGGCAGTATAGCCAACTGCTCTCCAAACCACAGGCCACATGCCCCTCAAGGCTGGGTGCAGGGCCACTGGGGACACTGTCGCTCCTGCCCCCACCCTGCTATGGGCCTCCACTCTCCGTGGACTCACAGCAGAATCTTGGCTGGTCATCTTCAGGGACAATTCCCATCCCTAGACCAGCCTGGAGTGTCACTCTGCCCTGGAGAACGGTGGGCCAGGAACTCATGGCCAAACCTTCCCATGAAAGGTGGGCACCATACCCAGCTTCTCTCACCCTCCACCAGTGCACTGTCCATGTCCAAGCTTGCACTAGCTCACTCGAGTGACAGGAAATCTTCCTGCCCACAAGTATCCATGACGGGCAATGAAAGGCCCGTGTGAAACATTTCCTAGTGTACACGTGTCATCATGCTGCAGGAAGGGCCCGGCTCAGGAGAGTGAAACTGCATGTCACACTTGCCCTGCCACACCCCTAACTCCAAGTTGCCGGGCCAGTCTTTCCACGAGCAAACGAACCAAGTTCCAGCCTATAAAAAGGGATCTCAGCATGCACTCCGGATGCCCCGTATGGACTGTGTCCCCTCCGCATCAAGCCACAGAGCTCCGCCTCCCCGCACTGAGCAGGACTGGGTCTCTGGGAAGGAACAAACCCGATGCCAACAGGGAAGCACAAGCTTCTACCCAGTCCTGGCACTAATCCTGTCACTCTGGGGGGCAGATGGCCTCCCAGTCTTGGAAAAGGGCAAAAAGGTAAGGCAGGAGCCACAGAGGACCAGGCGCCTTCTGGCCCAGGCATCACTCTGTCCAGAGTGAACACTCCAGAAAACGCTTCTTCCCTGTCCCCAGCCCCTGGCCAGCAGGGAGCCCCAAAACCCTGAGCGTTTACAGCCTGAGCAGATGTCACCTGTCCTAGGGGTGTCACAGCAGGGCCTAGAGACCCTGAAAGTACCCGGGTGACGGTAATGATGCCGCACCCCACCCCCACCTCACCGGCTTCTTTCGAGCACCCCAAGTGTAGCTCATGCTAACGCCAGCATCACCTGCAGCACCCTGGGTTTGCCGACTCATCACGTTATCTGGGCAGGACCTCTCCCACAGGAGGCAGGCGGTAGGCACAAGGGGCCAAAGGCCTAGCACCTGGGCGGGCACAGGCTGAGGTCAAGACTGGCCCGGGCCTGCTGGGAACCCTGATCAGAGGAGACGTGGATCTCAGAAAGAACTATAAACACGCCTCTCTGAAGACAATGGAAACTTTTCTTACACTGTGAATTGGGAAGTGCTCATTACATATCATTTCCTTCCAAGTCAACTGCGACAGCAGCACCCCAGCAGCACCCCACTCGGAAGTTCAGAGTGGGTCTCAGCTCAGCCCAGACCTACCTGCAACAGGTAAACTCTGATCATGTAGACAAAGCTCAGGCCCAGCGTCACCACCCACCGCACGGCCGTATAAGGTGTGGACTTGTCCAGCCAGGACTGGTAGATCTGAAGAGACAGAGGTGGGAAAGGTGAAGTGGACCCGGGGCTCCCACCGCATGGCTTTGATACAAAATACGCGTTGGCTACAGTTGGTTTTTTATTTTAAAAAGAGCTAAGCAGGGGCTGGAGGTTTAGCTCAGCGGCATAAGCGCCTGCCTTGCAAGCAGGCAGTCGTGAGTTCAATCCCCAGTCCTGATAAAAAGGAAAAAGACCAAAAAAAAAAAAAAAAAAAAGAGCTAAGCAGAACAACAAGAGATAAATCCTGATGCAAAACAGAGACTGGATTTGCAATGACCAAATGTATCTGCAACGGTTTCCAGGGCAGCTTCGCCCTTTACTAGAAGTGCTGCACGCCACCCATCAGAGGACAGCATCCCAGCGTGTCTGGAGCAGAGGCAATGAGGCTGTCAGCTTTCAGTGATAAATGCAGCCTGCTGGGGCACGGGTGCCAGCGCCACAGACACTGGTCTATAGGCCAAGATGGGGGAGACCACCTTCCCCCAAAGGCAGGGTGGGTGTCTTAGTCACCACAGCAAACCTGTGCCCAGTAAAGGTCCTGCCCATGTGCAGAAGACCCTGGCAGGCCCAGGTTCCTGGAGGGAGTCCTCAGTATTTTAACTGGTACACATGTGTATGCATACTTGTGTGTTAAAATTTACCTGTGAAAGAACCTTTAACAATGAAAATTTTCAGTCATAAAATACATAAATACTCATTTTCCAGTTTCAGTATTCTTATAGTTTGGCATGTACTACTTTTCAACTTAAAATTTGATTAAAAAAAAGCTGGCACATAATGGTAATCCCACCATTTAGGAGGCTGAGGCAAGTGGGGCGCTGAGAGTTCAAGGCCAGTCTGAACTACACAGCAAAACGCTGTCTCTAAAAACCAAAACAAACAAAAAAATCCAAAGGGCTGAGGATGTCATTCAGTGCAAAGGTTCCAAGTTTGACTCCCTAGTGCCACAGAAAATAAAGATATAAATATTTTATATATATATATATATATATATATATATTTTTTTTTTTTTTTTAAAACACATTTTTAAGCCAAAATATCAGTGTCTACAGTTGTTCATCAGGCAGGATCCAGACATAACCTAGGGCAGTGACCTGCATGCCGCTCCTGGCTCAGGAGCCCACGAGGCTCGAGCAGGCATCCACAGAGCACAGGGCCTGTCTGCACCGCCACCACCAAGGAGGAGTTTTGTGTTTAAAGGATAAAAAACACATGCATGGCCTCTGTGGAGAGTGTGGCCAGGGGCTCCCGGGAACATGCTCCCCAAGAGCTTGGTGGTGGGCAGGGGAGCTGCAGCCCTGCACCTCTCCCAGCAACATCCCAGCCTTGAGCCTGGCAAAGGGTGTTGGGAGCTGATGATGTCTTCCCTAAATGTTCCCATTAATCCCCTAAAAATACACTGACCTGTCCCAGGCGTGTGAAAAATCTGTACACCACGGATGGCTTCCCATGGACAGAATCCCCAACACTGTCCCCTTCAGACATCCTGCAACTGAAACACACGGCGCCTTCAAACGATGCAGACAGCACTTGGATGGGAACACCGCCCCTCACGGACTGGTACACCCTGCCGGCTTCCGAGTTTTTACTGCACGCTAACCCAGCAGGCAATAGGCTGTGGTGGACAGGGAGCAGGTGGGGGCGGGAATGATGTGACCAGATGGACTTCTGCCTGTATATGAAGCACCATGGCTGCCCATGCAGGCCAGCACCGTCCACCTCGTAGCAGCAGGAGCTGCCCACTGTGCCCTCCACCACCCCAGCTGTAGATATGGCACTGACACCTCACCCAGGTGCTCCTCAAGGATGCCAGCCCCCTATCTTCTCCAGGCCCTGTCCTAGCTGGTCCTTCACTGCAGGACGATGTCTGGGAAGTCCATGCAGCTGTGTCCCAGTTTCTTATCTCAACCCTGGAGGAAACCCTAGCCGCTCCCATCTCGCCACACTGCCCTGACCCCAGGCGGATTCACCTGTGAGAACCCAGGTGCAGAAGATCACGCACTGCCCCACTGGGTGCTGGGCGGCGAGGGAAGGGACCCCATTACCCCCCACTTCTCAAGGGAACAGGCCTCAAACAGCGCAGAGCTTCACTAAGCGTGAACTCCGGACACACCCTTCAGACAGTGCTGTCCACTAAGGGGTACTTTACTGCCAGTCCTGCCCTCAATTCGCCTGCAGCCCCTTGGCCGGGAGCGATGGATGCCAGGGGCCCTCACCCCAACCCCTGCTGCCCCCACCACAGGTGGCGAGGGGACTCGAGTCAGATCTGGCTTAGGTCCACTGAGCAGACACAGGGAACCCTTCAGGCAACCCTCCGGCCAGCCATGGCTTGCAATGGCAGGCTCTCCTAAGCCACAGACATGGACGCAGACCCAGGTTCCCTTCCACAGCGGCCCAGAGGCTGCTCACCTGCCCACTTACAGATGTAAGGCTGACGCTGGCCCAGCAGTGGCCTCCCAACAGCCACAGGAGCCCGCAGCTCTCGGGGAGCAATGGGAATCCCTCCGGGGAAGGGGGAAGAGAAGGGGAAGTAAGCGGGCCACCAGACATGGCCTTGGGCCTCAAGAGGACTGGCTTCCAGTCACAACTTCAACGTCACCATCTCAGCAGCCCCACAGGCCACACCACTGGAACTCGCAGGTCCTCCTCCCCTTCAGGAGGTGCCTTTCTATAGCTAGCAGGGGAATTCCACATTTACATATAGGCCACGCTAGAACGCACTGCTGAGAAAGGCCACCTTACTTAGGTCAAAGCATGGTCAGTGGGCAGCTACTCCAGCCTTGTTCTTCAGCCTACTATGCTTGCAAACTTCTTTTACTGTGACCAAAGCGTTTATCACTGAAACATTTTTGCTTGAATTAAGATGACAAAAACAGGGCTGGGGGTTTAGCTCAGCGGCACAAGTGCCTGCCTTGCAAGCAGGCAGTCGTGAGTTGGATCCCTGGTACCGATAAAAAGGAAAAAGACACAAAAAAAAAAAAAAAACCAAAAAACAAAGATGACAAAAGCAGTATCAAAAAGAAAATATTTGGCCGGGGATTTAGCTCAGCGGCATAAGCACCTGCCTGGCAAGCGCGAGGTCCTGAGTTCAATCCCCGCTACCACAAAAAAAAAAAAAAAAGAAAGAAAGAAAGAAAGAAAATATTTGGCTGTCCTGCTAAGTTATATCCTCCAAGCTGAACTGTAAAAACCCTCCAGACTGCCATGTGGGAGACCCACCAAGAATGCAGTGACCGCACTCCAACATGAAGACAAAGCTCCATATCTAGGCTGTACCTGTGACCCGAGACGCACTGCAGCATGGTTAAGACAGTAAACTACACCGCCCAACCACCCGCTTTCGACAATCCTCCTGCAGTTTCTATCAGGTGAGCTAAGTGCACCAGCTAACATTGGGGTTCTGATCTGGGAAAGGGGACAACTGCACATCAGTGCCCTCCTCTACGTTCCTCTGCAGAGTGAATGGCAGCCTGTGGTGAGCCTGCCAAGCCTGGCACAATATTGCAGGCAACTAAGTTAGACAGAAATTAATGTACATCTAAGAAGGGCTGAGTTTGTTAAAAAGTCAACAAAAAAATAAAGACAACAGCATTGTGGCTGGAGGCACATCTGACCCGCTTCCTATTGGGTGGATGTTAGCTAAGTAGCTGTAGGACAATCTCATTGGTTGACACAGTGTGACCCCATGTTGTACTCGCCTCTGCTTTTGTGAGTGTGCCAGCCCCTTAAGCACATCAGACTTGTTCTGGATTAGGGCAGCTCTCCCACCAGCTGTTCTACCTCTGCTCACTGCAAAGGTCACCTCCTCAGAGAGGCCCTCCACTGCTGCCCAAACTGACACCAGTGCTACCATCATGTGACTTCGTTTTTATTTTGTGTAACAATCATTTTCTGGTACTGTCCTGCATTTCCTCCCAATTTCCCTCTACCAGAATACAAACTCCTTAAAGGGGCCCTTGTCTGATACCAGGCTGGGCCTTATCACTCTAAAGCACACCCTCTAAAGCAGGCACTCAGGTGATTGGGGGTCTGTGGAATGTAATTGCTTTCCATTCAATTAGGAAGAAAACAAAGCAATAAGACAAAACCATGCTAGAGAACCAGGCCACAAACTGCACAGATACGTCCTGTGCCTTGTTCTACAGCTCACTCGTTGCCTCCATGACCCATCAGCACTAAACAAGACATCAGCAGGAGACCCTGAGCCAGGATCTGGGGTCAGCTCCTGCCCCAAGGACAGCTGGGCCTGTACCCCACAGGTTTTCCTTGCTGTTCCCTCCCTGGCGTGCCCACAGGTCCTACCTTGGGTTCACCAAGGCCAGGCTCCACCTGTACTTTTCGCTCTGACAGGTGTGACTTGTAGATCCCCACTTGGTCTTTGCACACTGTACCCATACAACGGTCACTCCAGCACACGACAGGATCCCATGGGCCAAGCCTCAACACAGAGGACCCTGTTTTCATTTATAGCAACTTTTTTTAAAGGGGTAGAAGATCACCTCAACTAAGGACACTAAGCACACAGCAGTGCAGGACAACCAGTCTCCATCTGCAGACAGAAGCCCACTGAAGGTTCTCAGGGTAAAGGTAACCCTTTGGGCCCTAAGACACTCTGGTCAGGAGGCCAACAATGAAAAGTGAGCCTAGAGGTCTGTTTGCTGTCTTAATTTCGAATATTATCACTGTATAATCTTGAGCCAATAACTACTCCCCTTTAGTTCACTCAGTGAAGTCTTAGTCCTCAGGCTTCATACTAAATGCCACAGATGAGCCCGGAAGGTGTGACGGGCGGCAAAACGAAACCCCACACAGAAGCACCACAACTCTCGAGCCTGGCAGGCAGCACCGGCCACCGACTCCGGCGCCCGCCGGCCGGGTGGAGCGAAAAACAGCCAGCGGCAGGGCCACGGCTGTCCAGGCCTGGCCATCCCCAGTGCGGCCCGTACCGTCCGTCCACTGCCAAGGGTCGATCTGGCCCCTTCGCGGCCCGCGCCGTCTCCTCCTGGCGCTCAGCCTGTGCCTATCGCGGCTCAGGCTGTCCCATGCCGAGGCTCGGCCTGTCCCCAGTATTACCCCTGGGTCCCCTCCCGCGGCTGGCCGTCCCCATCGCGGCCCAGGTCCCCTCCCGGGGCCCTGCTGTCCCCTCGTGGCCCTATAGAGTCTCTCCACCTCTCCAGACCTCCCTCCTCCCAGTCCTGCCGGATCCGCCCGCCCGCGGCCTTGACAGCCAGAGAGAGGCGGGGGCGGCACCGTCCGCCGACTCCGCGCCCCAAGCCCGCCCCCGCCCCCGGCACCTCGCAGCTCCGCTACGGCCGAGCCGCGGTCTCCCTCACGGCCGCAGAAAGGGGCGGCGGGCAGGGCGACCGCCGGCGCTCGGCTTGGGCTCGGGAAAGCTGCACGGGAACTTCCGCTCTGTCCAGCGGCACCGCCTCCAGCCTCCAAGATGGCCGTGAGGCGGGACCCAGAGCTCCAACCATTTCCGCTTCCGGCGCGGACGCCGCAGCCGTTGGCAGACCGTCCTCCCAGCGGAAGGGGCGGGCCGGCGGAAATGCGCCGCGCCGCACAGGCGCAGTGGCGTCCGTGGGCTCCGGGGTTTGCGGTCTCCGTTCCGGAGATTGCAGTTTTCCGAGACTGGGCCTGGTCACGCCCCCTAGCTACCGAAGGCCAATGGTAGGGGACCTGTCTGGTTGCTAGGGAACGCCTCGCGCCAAGATGGCGGCAGCCGGTCGGGGGAATCCGGGCTCGCTCCAGGGAAGGCGGGAGTCGCCGAGGCGGCCGCCGCGGGACGGTACGGACTGCGTGTGTGGGAAGCCCGGCCCAGAACCCCCCGCCAGCTGCCCGGCCTCATCCGAGTGCTGCCCTGTGAGGGTGGCTGGTGAAAGGCGGGCTCACAGCTGACCCGCCCTGCGCGGGTGGGTGGGCGAGGGAAGTCCTGGGTCCCACCCCAGGCCTGTGCCCAGGAGTGGTGATCTCGCGATCCAATGAGAAAGAAACTGACCCCGAGACTGACCCTGAGAAACAAGACCGGGATGAACCCAAAGTCCATGCCCTTGCCGTCCCGTCTGGCGGAATCAGGATCTCCCCTACAGAACTCCGCCTCCACGGCTCTCCCCAGGCCACCTATGTCCCCAGGGCCTGTGTCATGTGGTCCTTGTCCCCCTACACACCAGGTAGGTGTCCTCCCTGTCTCAGAAGCCAGCCAACCAACGGATAGCAGACAACTGATCTCCAAGCAGCCCTGCGGCAGGCAGTTAAGAGTGGCGCCCAGACTTAGAAGAAAGCCCCAAGCCCACCTCCACTGAGGTCCACCAAGTCACAGTGTCAAGTGGTCACTGTCTTCATTGTATTTTCAAATTCAGGTTATGGTGTCTACATATACCCAAATTCCTTCTTCCAATACGAAGGAGAATGGAAAGGAGGAAAGAAACATGGTAAGAAACCTCGGGGGTCCCTCCTGGCAGCTGCCTCCTCAAAGCTAACAGAGCTCATTTTCTCTAAGGGCTGAGGAGGAGTCTGCACCAGCCCTGTGCCCACACAGTGCTACCAGCCTGCCCTGGGCTTGGGCTGGTGCCACCCTGAGGCTGTTTCACAGAGTTTTTGAGGTCACTGCACCTGATGTGCCCCAGAGGCTAGCAGGGCTGGGCAGGGGTTGCACAGCCAGGGAGATACACTTCTACCCCTGCCTGCCACATTCCAGCACCTCGAGGCACCTGCAGCAGAGGAAACCACACCTTGGAAATCCTCTCTAGAGTTCTAGCTTGCTCTTCTTTTCCAGAGTGAAAAAACATTTTTTTTTATACCGGGAATCAAACTCAGGACTTCACACTTGCCAGACAGGCGCTGTACTGCTGAACTAAATCCCTGGCCCTCCCCTCCAGAGTGAAAATTGGCTTTATGCTTTGTTTCTGATTAAAGGAGATGACCTACTTCTGTAGAGCCAGTAGAGGAAAGCAAGTATAAAGTAAAATCTCCTGAATACCCTCCACCCACAGGAGCACAGAGCTCGGCTCCAGGCATGGCGCTCTAGGGCACCGTCCCTACTCTCACACCCCGGCACACAGGCCAGGCCGACACTGAGAATGTTTTGGAGCCTGGACTTCCCGGGATCTGTGCTTACATGACTTTGTTTCTGTGTGTGAATTCTGCCTATTCAGTGGCTTCTACCCATTTTCCCCTGAAAGGTTGGGCTTTTTTAATCCTTTGGGCCCCAGTATTTTCTGTTTCACCTTTTGGCTTTTATGTTGTGTTTTCACTGTGCAGATGCTTCTTATTTTTGTGCAAACATCAGAGAGTCTCTTCCTCCAGGCAGGCATTTAGGCTGATGTGCAAGGCTGTTATCAGTGACACCTTGACGGCCACCTGCCTTTCAGTCTGTCTCCCCCAGTGCTGTCCCCAGTGTTCACATGGGCAGTTGTGTCCACATCTCTCTGTGGAGCTCTGGGAAATAGCCTCAGGGTGGCACCAGCCCACACCTCTCTGTGACACAGACAGGATGTGGGAAGCAAGGTCTCCTCTGCACTGTCTGTGCCTCCTGGCCATTCTAGCTGAGAAAATGGGGCACTGGGGAATACTACATAGCTGGTCTGAGAAGTCTTTAGATAAATGTGGAATCAATCGGGGCTGGGGATTTAGCTCAGCGGCATAAGCACCTGTCTTGCAAGCAGGCAGTTGTGAGTTCGATCCCCGGTACCGATAAAAAGGAAAAAGAAAAAAAGAAAAAAAAAAATGTGGAATCAATTCATGAGTGAGTTTGTGAAGGACACACATTGGACCAACAGTGGAGCGAGTGTGAAAGCTGCACTTACCGCTGGCGTCTGAAGGCTCAGGGGCTGTAGGCCTGCCAGCCACCACGCCCAGTCACCGACTGACTTTACTTTGCACGACTTCTCTTCCCAGGTCATGGGAAGTTGGTGTTTAAGGATGGGAGTTATTACGAAGGTGAATTCATGGATGGCGAGATCACAGGGCAAGGCTTCCGGTACTGGGCCTGGTCAGGTCAGCGCTGGAGGTGGTGGGTGGGCTCCTGACCCCTCTCTCACCAACTCTGACACAGAAGCTGCTGTGTGTAAATGACCCTCCAGTTCCCCCAACACAAGGGAACAGCAGCGTGCAGGCTGGAGTGTTTGATGTGGGCCCCACCACTTGGGTGGCCTTTAAGCCTGGCAAGGGGCTCCCTGGGGACTCCTAGAGGGCGCTCTGCTCTCCCCTGTCCCAGCAACTCCAACTTCTGTGTGACACTTTGTTGGAATAAAATGGTATCATCCCAAGCTTGGCAGTTTCCTCAGCCTTTAAAGATATTTCACATCCTGTGCCCTGGTGGAAAACCTGCTCCGAGACTCCCATGCCCATGGGCGGGCATCGCCAAGAGCCTTAGGCTCTCACAGGCAGAGAGTGGTCTGTGCTCATGGGAGCTCCTCTTGCCTTTGGCTTCTCATTGCTTTTAAAAGCCCAGGAAGGCCAAGCATGGTGGCGCCTGCCTATAACCTAAGGAAGAGGTTGACAAGCTCCAAGCCCACCTGTGCAAATTGTGAGACCCTGGCCCACTGCCCGAATAGGGACTGGGGACACAGCTGAGTGGCAGAGTGGCCTGCCCAGTACACATGAGGCCCTGAGTTATGTACCTGGTACCACACACACAGACGGCCCGGGGCGAGCCCCCACCATGTCCCCCAGGTGCCCACAGGTAGGGTCATCTAGGTCGGTCTGCTGCCCTCACTGGGCAGGGAGGGCCTGGCCTAGTTTATCATAGCATTCCTCCTCCCTTGACCATGCTTCGAGTGACACAGATAGGGACACCCATTAGCCAGGGCAGAAGGGATACTGGACACAATGCTAACCCCCTCCTCCTCTGCACCCAGGAAACACCTACTCTGGACAGTTTGTTTTGGGAGAGCCACAAGGATACGGTGTCATGACGTACAGAGCTGGGGGCCGTTACGAAGGGGAGCTCTGCCACGGCCTCAGGGAAGGTCTGACATCCACGGGGCTCCAGGGCAGGCACTGGGTGGGGGGAGCCTGGTGTCCTCACAGCTGAGAACCGCTGCTCCAGCTGTCAGACTTCAGAGGTTGGAAAGAGGGGTGGCAAGGGAGGGGCTCCCCCTCTTGCTATCCCCAGACTATGTATCTGCAGCTCATCCCCTGGGCCCTGCCCCGGGAGCCCCATCCTAGTGTGTGTCCTGTGACACACACCACACTGCAGCTTTCTGCTGCTACATGCTGAGCCACCCCCCACTGAGGGGTTCAGACAGCCCCCACTGTGTTACTGGCTCCTGATCTGGGGCTTAGCGGCTGGCCCAGTCCTCCTATGTGGGTCTCCTGACCTCGAATAGGGTCACCACACCTCCAGCTGCAGCCACAGCATGCACCTGACCGTCTCAAGGTTCTGCAGGCCACAAAGATATCAGGAGGCAGATGCAAGAGGTGCCTGTCCCTTTACACCAGCCAGGGATAGAAAGACCAGTTACACCCTGGAGAAATTACCCCCAAGACAAAGGCAACTTCCTTTCCCTTCTCCAGGGTTTGCTTGTGTAGGGAAGCAGAAATACCCTCAAACGTCTGAACTGACCAAATCTGCAAATGACACACATTGTAACTCAGCCACACTCTCCTGCTCTCCCTCTGGCCCTGGGTGCGGTGTGGTAAGAGGGCAGCCTGTGGGAAAGTGGGGTTTCTCATAAATCAAGGAGCAGTGGCACCGCAGCTAGCCACAGCGTGGCCCGCGTGGCCCTCATCAGCAGAGCGTTTTCCAGCTCAGAGCTGGATCTGGGGTCCCTGAACACAGCACCTCCACCACCACCACCCCTGTACTCAGAGCCTTTTCAAGCCAGCCTGAGCCGCTTGCATCTGCCCTCTACACGACCCAGATGGTGGCTATCATCACTGTCCCAGCTGACCACGCTTGCCACTCCTGTCCCGGCGGTGCTCGCTAGGGTGCAGGAGCAGCCTGGCTCGCTAGGGTGTCCTGAGTTCCAGTCCTGTCCTGGCTCACACTGCCCTCCGCCACATGGAACAGCCCAAGGGCTGCAGGCGGAGTCCCTCCTGGGGCAGGGCAGTGGGGTCGCCACAGCAGGAGGCATGAAGTTAAGCTGGTGTCTGGCTTTCTCTAGGGCAGGGCGTCCTGGTGGACCCAAATGGACAGGTGTACCAGGGGTCCTTCCATGACAACATGCGTCACGGCTGGGGGCAGATGCTCTTTGAGTGAGTATGCAGCTGGGCGGGTAGATTCTGGGGTGCCTGGAGGAAGGCTGGCTCAGTCAAAGCCCAGCTTCTGAGGTGTGTCCTGCAGTCCACACTTCGATCTCTGCCCTGTGGGGTAGACCCAGGCCACCACATGCTGGGCAAGTCCTCCGTCGCCGAACCATCCCAGGCTCTTGTTTGATTGTTAGTAGAAAAAGTCATCTGTCCCCAGTTAAGGTATCTGGAGGGAAGGTTGGGCCAGCAGGAGGGGCACCGGAGACCCCTCCACCAGCACGGCCCCCCAAGAGGGCCACCCACGCTGAGCACGTTCTGGTGTTTGTGTGGCTTCTCCCCAAACCCCTCCTCTGCCTCCATCCTTTCTGTTCCAAGGGCCACCGATGAGTGCCCAGATGGGCAGACACATCCCACCCCTCGCTGCCCTCCCCAGTGCCCTGGCGGGGCCCTAGCTCACAGGCCGTCTGCTCAGGGCCTATTTTTGCCTCAGTCCCCAAGGTGGGTGCTAAGCCCAGTTGGAGGAGCTGGTCTGAGTCATGACCCCAACTGGCTCCCCACCAAGGCCCCTCTGCTGTGCCCTCAGGAATGGCGACAAGTACGAAGGCGACTGGATCCAGGACCGACGCCAGGGCCACGGGGTGCTGTGCTGCACTGATGGCTCCACATACGAGGTGCCCGCCCTCTCCACCTTGAGGCTCTGCACTGCTTGGGGCTCTCCGCCCTCTCCACCTTGAGGCTCTGCACTGCTTGGGGCTCTCTGCCCTCTCCACCTTGAGGCTCTGCACTGCTTGGGGCTCCAAGGAGCACTGGAGGGCGCTCTGGCCTGGCAGCCGGCGACCCCAAGATGATGGGGTGGGGCATCACCAGCCCCCACACCACCAGGTGTGAGTGATTCCCTTCCTGCTGTCCTGATCTCAGTTGTGACACCCTGACTGGAAGTCAGAGTGTCCCCTGGTGCCCCCTGCACACAGGATACCTCAGAGAAGAGCCCCGGGCCTGGCTCTTGGGCTAGGGTCTGTCCTGCTGCGCTACAGGAGGAGGAGGCAATGTGGGGCTCCAAGGAGGGCTAGGGGGTTGAGTAGGCCACCTCCTCCCTCACAAGCAGCTGGCCCCTCGCTGCCCAGGGAGGTGCCATGGAGTGGGCCCTGCATGGACAAGCGTCTCCCTGTCTGCAGAGCTGATCTAAGGGGTCCATGCGCCAGGGAGGCCGTTGGGACAGGGAGAGCAGCCCTGGCCTCCTGTAAATAGAGACTGTGGTTGTTCCCACGTCACTCTCAGGAAAGGGGGGAAAAGAGGGTGACTGGGGCCAGGCACAGTGGTACACACACCTACAATCTCAGCTACTTGAGAGGCTGAGGCAGGAGGATTACAAGTTCAAAGACCCTATCTCAAAAAAGACCAGAGAGACTTCCGGGAGGACGGCAGAGTGGTGAGCAGCACAGAAAGAGCCTCTCCGAGTACTGGTGTCCAGACGCTGGAATACAGCAGCATGAGGAAGAGGAGGAGGAGGAGGGAAACGGGTCCCCGGGGCCCAGGAAGGATCTGAAGGGAGAATTGAAGCCCACGGGGAGATGGAAGAAGACCCTCAATGCACGGGAAGGAGGTGCTGAGAGGCACTTTCTCCTGAGCCCCCGGCTCTGGAGGGGCAGCTCAAACCTGCAGATACACAGTGACCGCTAGTAACCCTAGAGGCCTCCACAAAGAAACACACCAGTGGGTCGGAGCAGACTACAGTGGCTGGTGAGTTATCTGGGTTCAAAGGCCCCCAGGAGAGGGCGACTGGCTGGGAGCCCTCTCAGAAAGGGACCAGCTGAGCTGGACCTCAGAGCAGCTTCAGCTGGCTCCGTCTAGTGGCTCCGAGTCAGGGGGGCCTGGAAAGAGTTTAAATGGGCAGATGCTCAAGGAGCCGAGTTTATGCTGGCCAGAGGCACAGAGTGGTGCAGGCTGAATGAATGGGGCTCCAGCCTCACAGCCAGAAACCAGCCTGAACCCCAGTGGAACTAAAGGTGCAGGCTGGCTGGGGTCATCCACCCCACGCCCTGCAGGAGAGCTCCGGCTGGCTTGCTGGGTAAATCGGCTGCGATCTGGACTCGGTCTGCCCGTTCTGTCTGCCACTGCTGGCAGAGACGCCCTGAAATGGACTTTTTTTCCTCTCCTTTTTCTTGTCTTGTTCTTATTTTATTTTTCTTGATTGTTCTTGTTTTTTATGTGTGAACAGGGTTTCTAGTTTTTTGTTGTTGTTTTTCTGTCCGTTTTTTTTCTCTTCCCCTTCTGTCTCCTTCGCCAGTTTCCCACAGTTCACGTGATCTTTCTTTGTCTTCAGCCTTACTTCTAATCTCCTCTTCTTCTGTTTCTCTATTTTTTCCCCTAACTTATTTTAAATTTTCTCCCCTGGGGCTGGGGACTTGGCTCAGCAACATAAGCGCCTGCCTTGCAAGTGTGTGGTTGTGAGTACGATCCCCAGTACAAAAAAAAGAAAAAAAATTGGGGTAAAATCACCATACTGAGGGCATATTTACAATTTTCTGGTTTGTTTTAGGTCTTGTTGTTTAACCACAAATGTAGTTCATATGGTTAAAGGTGGCAAATGAACCACAGTTCATGAAACAGCGTTCTCTGTGCTGTTTGATGCTGTTGTTATTACTGCTGGTTGTACCACGTTAGCCAACTGTTCTAATCAGTTGCTCTCCCTGGGATGCCAAGACTGAGATTACCTGCGGGTCATAAAAAATGCTGTAGGCAGAGCCAAGGAACCAGGGCCCGGCCAAGAAGGCAGCAGCTTCTCACCCTCAATAAACTGAAGAGGTGGGAACTTGCAACACACTCGAAACTCAAAAGCCAACGACACCTACAAGACATCTCTGAGAAGTAGTTATTTCTTAAGAGTTCTAAGTACTAGTAACAAGGCTACCTGCCATAAGCAGTTTACAAGGGTCAACCCAGGAATTAAACTTTAAAAAAGAAAAATTAGGGCTGGGGATTTAGCTCAGCGGCATAAGCACCTGCCTGGCAAGTGCAGAGTCATAAGTTTGATCCCTGGTACCACAAAAAAGAAAAGAAAAGAAAAAATTAGAAGACGCTTAAGCAAGATACAACCCCAGACTTTTAGCTCACTAAAGGCAAACCCAGGGGAAAATGAGGTACAGTAATTCAAAAGCCCCCCCACTTGGAAGTAACAAGGCAGAGTTGGTTCTTTGAAAGATTAAATAAAATTGACAAACCCTTAATCAGCCTTATCCAAAAAAGGAAAAACTGGAATCCATACAACTAGGAATAAAAAAGGTAAAATCACAACAGATCCTGAAGAAATCCAGAATATCATCAACATCTACTTGGAGAACCTGTATTCTAAAACACAGAACAGATAGACAGATTCCTAGATACCTATCATCACTAAAGCTAAGTCAAGATATAAAGATTCTAAATAAACCAGTATCAGTCAATGAAACTAAAGATGTAATTAAAGACCTTCCAACAAAGAAAAGCCTAGGCCCTGGCACATTCACTACTGATTTCTACAAGAAATTTAGAGGATACCTAATACCACTACTTCTGAAACTCCTTAATGAAATTGAAAGGGAAGCAGTACTACCAAATCCATCCCTAGGAGTAATCATTACCCTAGAGTCAAAACCAGAAAAGGATTCAACCAACAAAGAGGACTATAGGTCAGTCTCCCTAATGAACATAAACCCAAAAAATCCTCAGTAAGACACTGGCAAACAATGCCGCAAGTCATCCAGAAAATCATATACCATGAGCAAGTAGGATTCATCCCAGGGATGTAGGGATGGTTGGACATACACAAATCAATAAATGTAATGCACTATATTAACATAGCTAAGGACAAAAACCACAGGATCATCTGAGTAGATGCAGAAAAAGTATTTGATAAGGTCCAACACCCACTCATGATTTTTTTAAAAAATTAATGAAAACTGGAATAGACGGTCTATCCCAAGGTGATGAAAGCCACCTGTGACAAACCAAGAGCCAGCATCATACTAAATGGACAAAACCTGAAAGCTTCCACCCTAAAATCAGGAACAAGACAAAGTTGTCCACTATCTCCACTGTTATTCTATATAGTTCTGGAAACACTAGCCAGAGAAATTAGACAAGAGAAAGAAAGACAGGAAAGGAAGACATTTTCATTATTCAAAGATGACATCACACTGTAGGTAGAAGGCCCTGAAAACTCCACCAAAGGACTTCTTGATTTAATCACCAAATCAGTACTGTAGCTGGATACAAAGTCAGCACTCAAAACCCAGTAGCCTTCCTGTACACAAACAACAACTCACTGAGAGAGAAACTGTGGAAACACCCCATTTCACAATAGCATCCAAAATAATGAAATACCTAAGAATCAACCTGACAAAGGAAATAACCTTTACACTGAAACTACAGTACTCTGAAAAAGGAGATTGAAGAGGATATCAGAAAATGGAAAGATAGCCTTTGTGCTTGCATAGGAAAGCGGCCATACTGCCAAAAGTGTTACACAGATTCCATATTTTACAGAATTAGAGAAAACGATCCTAAAATTCATTTGGTACCAGAAGAGATCTACAATAGCAAAAGTAAGTTCTGGGCAACAAAGACAAGGTCAGAAGCATCACAATCGTTGGCTTGAAATTGTACTACAAAGCTATTGTGATAAAAAAACAGTGTGATGCAGGGAAAAACCAGACCTGAGCATCAATGATTCAGATTAGAGGATGCAGAAGCAACTCAACTATCCTGTCTTTGACAAAATATCCAAATACATTCACTAGAAGGAAGAGAACCTCTTTGGTACTGGAAAAACTGGCTTTCCCCAACCTGAAAATTAAAACTAGACCCATGTCTTTCACCATGTGCTAAACTAAAATCGAAATGGATCAGAGATCTAAATATTAAAACAGAAACATTAAATCTTCTGGAAGACAGAATAGGTAGAGCTTTTGAAGACATTGCTGAAGGAAAAGATTTGATGAACCAAATCCTGATTGCACAGGAACATCACAGAGATTCGGCAACGGAGATCTCATCTTATTAAAAAGCTTTTGCTCAGCAAGTGAAATCACCAACAGAGTGAGGAGATCACACACGGAGTGGGAAAAATTTTTGCTAGCTGCTCCTCAGACAAAGTACTAGTATCTGGACTACATAAAGAACTGAAGAAAAAATCAGTCCCCCCAAATTTAAATGCTCAATCCAAAACTGGGCATCTGAAATGAATACACACTTCTTAAGTAAAGAAGTAGAAACGGTAAATAAATATGAGAAAATGTTCAACATCCCTGGTCATATGAGAGATGCAAATTAAAACAACACTGAGATTCCATCTCACCCAGAAAGAACGGCTGTTATCATGAGATTAACCAATAACCAATGCTGGAGGGGCTGTGGGGAAAAAGAAACCCTTCTCCACTGTTGGTGGGAGTGCAGACTGGCGCAACCACTGTGGAAATCAGTGTGGCAATTCCTCAAGAAACTAGGATTAGAGGTTCCATTTCACCCAGATATTCCCCTTTGTATCTTCCTGGAAGAATTAAAAGCATCATACCACAGCAATATACGCACACCCATGTTTACAGGAGCACAGTCTATAATAACTAATCTTGAAATAGCCCAAATGTCCATCAACCGAAAAATGGATAGAGAATATTCGGTTTTTTCTACAGTG